GCGGTGGCACGCAGGTGAGGACGCCGCCTTGGGTCGGGCGTGTGAGCCGGGCAGGTGCTGGCAGCGACCTTGCGGCGGATCTGGGGAGTCGGGTGAGGGCTTCCGGGGGAAGCTGAGGCTGCAGGGAAGAGGTCCCGTGACTGCCTGGAGTTTCCAGGGCACAGGGTGGGGGAGGACGATGTGCACCAGGGTGCTAGGCAATTCCGAAATTACGAATTGCACGGGAGACACGTGCAAGGTGGGTGTTGGTGTTTCTGCGTCAGTCGGGGGTTTATTTACCAGATGCCAAGCGCCGGCCATTAGAAGCAGGCCATTCATGCTTTAAAAAAAAAAGGGGGTGGGGGTGGGTGGGATGCGGTCTCTTGTCAATTTAGTATAAAACAATTGTTGATCAGCTTGGCTAGGTGCAAGAGAAACACCATCATTCTGGGTTGTTTATGTGTTCATGGGATGCATAAAAAGTGAAAATGAGTAAGCTGGAATTATTGGAGCCCAAGATAGAACTGCAGCCACTTGCGGGGAGGGAGGAATTACTAAGTCTCAGAACAAAACTCACGTAAAGACGACTTCTGGTAAACTGCTTTTATTTTTCAGCGACATCGCTATCTTTTTAGCTATTAATTATTTTTCCCCACTAAGAAGGTGGCTTTCAATCCATTCTAGATGATGATTTAGAAACTTCCCCTTGTGGGTGGGGGCACAAGCAGACATCTGTCCCCTCCTTACAGGGCCCAGTGACCAACCAAAGTACAGTTCCATCCAAGAAGCCCACTTTGGGGAACGATCGAGTTGATTAGGTTTACTTACAGAACGTGGGCGGCTACAGAGCAGCGGAATCACCAGAACGTCATTCTGCATGGATGATGTTAGCTTCCCAGTGTGTACACTGAGACTACTAGATGGAGTGTCATTAGGAAAGAATTGTATATAACCAACCAGGAGATGCAGGAGGGAAGGACAGAAGACCTTATCCCCCACCCCCATGAGAGAATGACAGAAGTCCATAGGCCTATCTTGAACTTCACTTTGGAAGTAGTAACAGTTGCCCCGGTGAAGATGACGGCTTTTGGGCTCCGAGGATCGTGTTCTGTACACAGGACACCCCAGACTTTTCCAACCTCTTTGTAAAAATAGATAGCAATATTTAATTCCAGAGTGAAGATCAACAGTTGCAACGATGCTGACTCATTTTTCCCTTAACATCAGGACCACTAAGGGGGCATAGCCCAGGGTTTCAGGATAAGCTGTCTGACAATTGGGACTAAAATAAATGTCAACTCTTAAAATAGTTTTCAAATGTATGTATAAAAGTGACAGAACATACTGAATGGGAGAATTGATTCATATCTGGTCTTGAGCACAAGCTAAGCATTTTATTGTTGAAAATCAAATTAAAATTGTGAGTCCTGATAAATTCACAGACATGAAGAGTGATAGAAGGCCATTGTTGAAGTGAGGTGGGCTGGCGGAATGGCTTTAAGGTATGTAGGTGTTAGCTAGTGATGAGGATAGTTACAAGTAGTAGTTAGTGTTAGTGGTGACACGGCATAGTTACTCCTGAGAGAAGTTGAATAAAGATCGTCAAGAGCCATGATAGAACAATTAAATGACAATATTATGGTTATTTTGTTTCTTATACCAGAACCCATTCTAGGATATGCCTTTCCTAAAAAGAGTAACAGAGACTTTTTATTTAAAAAAAAAATTATTTGGCCAGGCCGTGGTGGTGCACACCTTTAATCTCAGCACTCAGGAGGCAGAGACAGGTAGATCTTTGTGAGTTCGAGGCCAGCCTGATCTACAGAACAAGTTCTCCAAAGCTACACAGATACCCCGTCTCAAAAACAAACCAAAAACGTTTATTTAATTATCATGTGTGTACGAATGTGTATGTTCTATGGGTATGTGTGTCTTGTTGACTATATGAAGGTCAGAGGGTAACTTTTGGGAGTGGCCTCTCTCCATCTACCCTGCAGGTCCCAGGCACCCAGCTCAGTTCAGCAGGTGGCAGCAAACTGCCCTTGTCAGCTGAGCTGTCTTGCCAGCAGAATTAATTCTTTAGAAGCATAGAACATGGGGGAAAGGATAAGGAAGGAAACTAGGTTCTGCCAACTGCATACGTGATTTTGACAGTGAAAATAACAGTGCGAAGTTAATGATATATTTTAATTTAACCCACTAGATCTAAAATGTGACAGTGTCAGCATATAACCACTATATGATACTATAAGATATAAATGTGATAGTTTAATCTTAAGCCTTTGATTGTGTGGTGTTCCCCAGCTGCGTGCTCCTGTGTCACCTCACTGGACAGCGCAGGTCTCAGGGGTTCATGCCTGGCTGGAGTCTAAACTCCTCCCTTCGGAACTCAGTGTTTTTCCACACTTGCTTCTATTTATCGTTCTTTTTCTTGCTGCTCCTCCAAGCATTCTTACAGGGAAACCACAAGACCTCACTTCCCATCCTGCTGCTCGTCTCTGCTCCAACTCCAGCTGTTCTTACGCTTCATGGGGAGCCTCAGGTAGCATGGAGGAACTTTTCAGACTTTTTTTTTGTTTGTTTGTTTTTGTTTTTGTTTTTAAATTTTTGCTTATTTATTATGTATACAATATTCTGTCTACGTGTATGCCTTCAGACCAGAGAGGGCACCAGACCTTATTACAGATGGTTGTGAGCCACCATGTGGTTGCTGGGATTTGAACTCAGGACCTTCAGAAGAACAGGCAATGCTCTTAACCACTGAGCCATCTCTCCAGCCCCCTTTTCAGACGTTTTTAACACACAATGTTCCTCAGTAAAGCCGCATTCACAGCCCGGATTAGACCTCTTGTGGGGTCGTGACAGCCAGTCCTAACTTGATGGCAGTGTTATTGCTTGCTCAATCCCAGTCAGTTAATGACACTTCCCCCAGAGGGCCCAGATCTGTGTAATCGTTTACATGCAACTCCCCTGTGATGGCTAAAGAAACTTAATATGATACCAGGCATCCGGTAAGGGCCATTGACCTTTGCCCTGGGATGCCTGTGAGACCCTAGTGGCCTGTGGGTGATATAAGGATAAGATAATGGTGTTCCTGCCTTGAGGAATTTAACCCCTTGCTTTCTGCTTATGTAAACTTCCTCTATAACCCCTTGTTTTTGATTATCACTGTGGGACTGGGATGGAGTGGTCTTTTTATAACTGTGCAGGGGGAAAGAAATGCAGCTGAGGGGAACGGAACAATTTTTATGCCAGCCATGGATTCTATAGCTAATAGTAATGTCCACCACTGACATCTGCCTTTGTAAACCCTTCCTTGGGCACGGCATGCTATTTGGCTCTAAGGCTGCCCTTCCTTCAGTCAGAGTAAATTCACTTCATCTAAATTTGAAGTTAGTCTTGGCTCTTTCCTAGTGGAGTAGAAGGCCACAACACTCTCAACACAGGGGATTCGGTTGTTCTTATGTCTGTCTTTCTGTGTGTCAGCGTGATTTTGTATCTTACTCATCTGTGTTGTGATCGGGCACTCCACTTAGTAGCTAACCGACATTTACAGACAGGATGAGAGTAAACTACCATGTTCACTATCATAGATCTCCAGTGGACCTGCTGCTTCCTTGTTTAGAGGATTTGCGCCTGTCCTACCCTTGAGGACATGCACGGATACTCACACATCCTGTTGCAGTGGAGTTCAGCTTAAGGAATGACAGGAAGCTGGGAGGTGGTGGTGAATGCCTTTAATCCCAGCACTCGGGAGGCAGAGGCAGGCAGATATCTGTGGAAAAAAAAAATGACAGGGACAGGAAGAACTTACTATTCCCTCCTGATTTTAAAGATGGAAGCCCTTAGACTTGATTTGGGTCAGCATGGCTAGGAAGTTTGTCTCAAGATCAGTGTAAGAGGTGAGGAGACATCTTCGAAAGAGTCTAGACTCACAGGGTTAGGTCTCTGGATGGTTATGGAGCAGATGTCTCCGTCTTAGTGACATGGTAAGCGCAAGTGCAGAATGAGGGACCACACTGGCTGAAAGCTCCCATCCGGGAAGCTGAGAATGTCCTGGTCACTGGAATAGGAGAGAGGAACCCATGCCAAGAAAAAGCTAAAGAGTGGATGGACCGTCTCAGATCTGGACAAGTCTTGACCCAAAGGAGGAAGGAGAGAGCCAGCAGCATGGAAGCAAGAGCTCAGGAAATCAGCAGAAGGTGCCAAGAATAGGTTATTAGCTTGGTGAAGATGTTGCTAGGATACAGTAGGGGGGTCATCCCTAGATATTTATTACTGGGACTAGCAATTGAGAACAGGTCCAGTTCTTAGTTTAAGAATGGAAAGGATCATATTAAGAAAGACAAACATTTTATAGATGGTCCCACAGCTCTGTTAAGGCTCAATAAAGCCTTTGGTCCTTCCTGTCACACTTAACCCAAAGGCACTCACCTCCATTGCAATCAGGGTGGTGTCTAGGAAATCTGTCGTCTGGAGCCCTTAATTATAATTATAAGAGCCTGGTGCCTTAATATCAATTCTGTACAGTACATCTCTTGCCCATCAGATCAGTGCTGTTTATAGTGCAATTGCTGCTTTAGCGGCACCAGGGAGCAGAGTTAATTCAACCCAATATAAATAGAGCGCTCTGGTCCTGTGGCTTGGAGGTATATTTTCCTTCATTTGCATATCTTGCACCCTCCTGGTTCTGGCCTGGATGAGCAAAACCTGGATATCCCTCTTCTCGGAGGCATTAGGCACTGCCAGATCTGTCTCAGAGACACCTGAGTTCCTCAGATACCCATGTTCGGGAGTCCAGCTCCAGCGGGGTTCAGGTCCCAAAGAGGAGGTGTCGCGTCGGCAAGGGAAGGAGACTGACATGATCTGAGGGTAAATCAAGATGGCTGTCCATTTATTGGAAATTGACCACACCTTTTTTTAAAAGATTTATTTATTAATTATGTATACAACATTCTGCCTCCACGTATGCCCGCACGCCAGAAGAGGGCACCAGATCTCATTACAGATGGTTGTGAGCCACCATGTAGTTGCTGGGAATTGAACTCAGGACCTCTGGAAGAGCAGTGAATGATGAGCCATCTCTCCAGCCCCCTAGACTACACCTTTTATACTCTATAATTGCATTATAGTTTAGCCATAAGCAACATTGAAAGCATATTTAATGATTCCAGGATGAAAGCCGTCATCAGCCTCATTACAGCATTTTTCTTGAAGCAAAAAACAGTAACTTTATCCGGGCGGTGGTGACACATGCTTTAAATAGCAGCACATGGGAGACAGAGGCAGGTGGATCTGTGAGTTCTAGGGTAGCCTGGTCTACAAAGTAAGTTCCAGGACAGCCAGAGCTGTTTTATATATATATATAAACCCTTTATTTTTGAAAAACCAAAACCAACCAAACAAACAAAAAGTAATAAGTTTAGCAAGAGTCTAAATGCCTGTTGTCCTCTGAGGTCAACAATCCCGCCAGGTACTCTCTTACAGTTCCTCCTACACAGTCTCGGTCCCGAGAAACAAACCCATAAGAGCAATTTTCATTTTTCAGGGGGCGTGATGCAGTGTTTGTACCATGTTAGCACAAGCAATGAACTGTTTCCTAATTGTGTTCCTTTGTGCCTCATTCTTATAATATGGCTTGTCCCCCTCATAAGGTCCCAAAGGGGAAGGTCCTGACATCTTACTCCTTTTCCATTATACCATAGCATTCTGAGCCCTTCAGTGTATGTTCCTGTATATGGCAGAGGGGGATCAAGCCGGCCTAACTTGTAATGGAATCTGCTCCCACGTGGCGTACCAGATCTTGCCATTCATCCAGTGAGCCACTAATTGTGGGCACCAGTCTATACTCATTAATTGAACTCTTGCCCTAAATGGCCCCAGACTGTGACTCTGGGTCCATTGTTTCTCTAAGACTGTGTGTTTTTCATCCATGGGACCAGGTATGCCCAGGTAGTAGGTCTTTAACTTCTCGATTCCCGGTGTAATGGGACGGGGATCGGGAAGCCGCACAATGGGGAGTTCTGTGTGGAGAATAAGCAGAGTTATCGTGCTCTGTGGTTCCTCAGAGGTGGGATTTTTCCCCAAGAATTATTTTCTCTAAAGAAGCTTCCATTGTACATATTCTCATCCTCACCAAAGCTCAGATAAAATTCACAAAGGAAAAGGCGTAAAGAAGCCCCCATTACACATAGTGAAAATCATTACAACTGGGAGTCAAAGTGGTGAAGAGCTTGGTCCGCCTAGTCAGGGTGGTCGCCACGCGGGCCACACCATCTAAGTGTTCCGTTCTCTGCATTTTTTGTCTGGAGACAACTCAGCAGTCATTTAGGTGTACCCATCCATCCTTTGCTTCCCGCCTCTTTTGTGCTCTGCAGCCAGGGTTGTGATGTTCTAAGCTTGGGGGTCAAGTTGAACGGCTGCTGTGCTAAATATGGCGCTTAGCAGGGTACTGAGTACCCTGGGAGTAAGGGCACGATATGTCCCAGTTTTAGTCCCTACCAGTTTTGAATACCTGCCATTGCCTTCAGTCTCCTTATGTAGGCCTGCGGGGTTCCTTCTTTGCCTCCCATGATACTCACATACAGTAAAGCTGTGTAGAAATCAGCTCCTTTGCGTGATAACTCCCATCCCCCTGTAGTGTCTCATGTAGCCTGGGCTAGTCTTGAACTTTCTATGTATCAGAAGATGCCTCTGCCTCCCACATACTAGGATTTCAGGTGTGTGACATGACCACCCTGTCTTGTGCCTGGTAGGCAGACAGTGTGACTGTTGTGCTATGCTGTTGATGTGTTGCTTCCTACCCACAGGCGTCATGACCCCCGTGAAGACTCAGTACTCCTTGGCGGGTCAGCCATATTCAGTGCCCCTGATCCAGCCAGACCTGCGAAGAGAGGAGGCAATCCAGCAAGTGGCAGATGCCCTGCAACACTTACAGAACATCTCTGGAGACATCTTCAGCAGGTGGGACCTGCTGCCCAGCTGACCCGATAGAGGGTCTCCTCTTTCCTAAGCAGGATTCTCTGCAGCCCTAGGAATGTGCCTTCTGCAGACAGCCTCTTCAGTGATCCGAGTAATTCCCAGTGTAGAAAGGGAGAGAGGGACCAGTCCAGCTTGGAAACCTTACGAGTCCCTGAGAGCTCATCTCCTGTTTGGTGTCTCATGTAGCCCCTTAGTTTTCCCGTGGCTCCATGGGCTGCTACGGGACCTCAGTGTTCTTCCCACCAGACCTCTTCCTTCACTGACCCCTGCAGTCAGCCTGCACCGACTCAGCGTTTGGGTGCACAGGGGCCTGTACTTAGGTCTAGCTGTGGCACTGAATATGTCAGTGTCCCCTCTAGAGCATGAACTCTGGGATGACAAACCTAAACGCTGTTAGGCCTTCCTTAACTCTGGCTATGTACTGCGGAGTGGGTCACTAGATGGTTTGCTATGGTACGGACAAGATAGTTTGCTACACGGGTGCAGCATCCACTGCAGGTGGTCTCTTGATGTAATCAATGAACACAGCAAAGCTGAGATGGCGGACCTGCTGCCAGCATGACCCAATAGCAGCAGACTTCTTTAAGTAGATCGAATATACTCTAAAGTAACAAAAACAGTTATGCTACGTAAAGACATAAGCCAGTGCATCTCATTTATCGTCATTACCAAGTATATTATATTGTGCATAACCGTATGTGCTGCTGGCCAAATGAAGTTTCTCTTCACCAGCATGTCCTCAAACCCCATGTTGCATCATGACAGCGTTCCCCTAAGTAAGTTGTGGGAGGGGAGGTTTTCTGCCCTGTTGTGATGTTCTGGGCACACCTTCACGTCTGTGGTCCTTCAATGGCTGAAACACGGTGTGCCATGTTTGATTGCATGAGTAGCTCACTACACTTGTACTAAACATTTTTGCTTATTGGTAGCCATCATCACTCTAGCTGCATTAATTTCTTTAACCCTGGGGATATCCTATGAGGAAATCATGCTATCTTTCCTCCTTTTTAGGGGAGGGTGGGGGCAGGGATAGGGTGTCATTGACCCAGTCAGATCCTGAACTTGCTCTGTACTGGAGGATGACCTTAAGCATCTGATCCTTCTGTTTTTGGCTTCCCCATGCTGGGATTAGAGGCGTGCGTCATCATGCCTAGTTATTACCTCTCTCTCACAGACAGGAGACTCTGGGGAGTGGGGAGGACAAGGTATTAAGTGGGTCAAGGCACTTGCCGCCAAGCCTGGTGATCAGCGCCTCATCCTTGGGACCCACATGGGAGAAGGCGAGAACTGATTCCCCAAGGTTGTCGTCTGACCCCTACACACACCCCACGAAACATGCTACTCCATCCCCCATGTGTGCACACCACATATACACACAGAGCAAAAAATTCTTTTTAAATTATTGTTTTTTAAAGCCAAAGAGACTTCCACAGATGACAAAGACAGGGTTAAACCCAGGAAGTGTGGCTGCACATGGTGGGAATTTCTATCTCTGGGGGTGGAATGAGGTTCTCTCTAGGATTGGGAAGGGGTGTGTGAAAAGTAACATTTTATGGTAGAGCCTGACAGGCAAACAGATCAGCCAGAGGATTAACATTCCCTAAAGAAAGAGTGTGTGGCAACCCTAAGGGAAGGGCTGGGAAGGTGTCTAGTGTAACCAGAGCAGGGAGAAGCTGGAGGGTGATCAGGGCCTTCGCGGTCTTCGGTGCTGTTGAATTTGTGTTTGTCAGTTTCCTATCACCATGGGCATGCCCGGTGCCCAAGCCCTTGGGTTGAAAAATAGGGACACACAGAGGTCAGGTGAACAGCACTAAGACCAGCCCAACAGGCAGGTTGTACCATGTTGAGCGCTTAAGCCCAGGACTTGGCGAAGCTCGTGTCTGCTGCTGGCACAGGTGGACAGAGGCTGCACAACTTGAAGTAGCCCCCAGTCTCTACACTTTTCTTCTTTGGCAGGATCTCCCAGCGAGTAGAACTGAGTCGGCGCCAGCTGCAGGCCATCAGGGAGAGGGTCTCCCTGGCCCAGGCTAAGATAGAGAAAATCAAGGGCAGCAAGAAGGCCATCAAGGTAGGCAGGCCATGACTCCTATGTCTGTTGCTGGTGCCTGGATCCTCTGGTACCCCTGCTGTTTAGCCACACCTCACTTTCCTCCTGTCCATGGGTCATCCTGCTTATGATTACTTGAATATGTGGGCCCCAGAGCTGTCCCTGTATCTGCAGGTTTTCTCTAGTGCCAAGTACCCAGCGCCAGAGCGCCTGCAGGAATATGACTCCATCTTTACCGGTGCCCTTGACCCTGATCTGCAGAGAAGACCCCGTTACAGGATCCAGAGCAAGCACCGCCCACTGGATGAGCGGGCCCTGCAGGTCTGTATGCCACCCACCTGCATGCCACCTGCATGTCACCCATGGCGGCTGGGAGGCAGGGCCTGAAGGTTGACCACAGATTTCGGTCTCCTAGAAGGATTCTGGTTGGGATGGTGCCGGGTCCACACACCTGATACTAAAACTCCGTCTACTCTCATCCTGCCCCAGGAGAAGCTGAAATACTTTCCTGTGTGTGTGAACACCAAGTCGGAGCCTGAGGATGAAGCTGAGGAGGGACTTGGGGGTCTTCCCAGCAACATCAGCTCCATCAGCTCTCTGCTGCTTTTCAACACCACAGAAAATCTGTAAGGCCCGGAGATAGCCCGCGGGAAGACGGGAGGGTGAGAGGGAGACTTTGCTTAGGTAGCTCCAGGGACCTGAGCCTGGTACAGTTCTCAGGACTGACAAGTTAGATTTGGCTCCTAAGACTTGGATATCCACAGGGACAAATGCAGTGGGGAAGGATGGTGATGGACCTCCCTGGTCCCAGGTCAGGTGATGGCCTCCTGACCCTAGCCCACTCCACAGGTATAAGAAGTATGTTTTCCTGGACCCTCTGGCTGGCGCAGTAACAAAGACGCACACGATGCTGGGCACGGAAGAGGAGAAGTTGTTTGATGCCCCTCTGTCTATCAGCAAGAGGGAGCAGCTGGAGCAGCAGGTGGGGTGGAGTGCTTGGGCAGGCAAGCCCTGCCAGTGTGGGTCAGGGAGGCTGGGTCCACATGTGCTGCCCGTCCCGTGCTTACAGTGTGGGCCGTGTGCTCTGGCAGAACTGCCACTCTCCCGTACCATCTGACCCTGCAGGCTCCGGAAAACTACTTCTATGTGCCAGACCTGGGCCAAGTTCCTGAGATCGATGTGCCATCCTACCTACCCGACTTGCCTGGCATCGCCGATGACCTCATGTACAGTGCGGACTTGGGCCCTGGCATTGCCCCCTCTGCTCCTGGTGCCATTCCAGAACTGCCCACCTTCAACACAGAGGTAGCTGAACCTTTCCAACCAGGTGAGCTGGGCCGTGGGGATGGAGTTGAACCAGAAAGTCCGTGCTGGCTCCTTCCCCAGGTCTTCATATAGTCTCACCTTCCTTACAGAACTAGAGAATGGGGTGCTGCTGGCAGCACCGCCACCGCCACCACCGCCACCGCCGCCTCCTCCAGCTCCCTCAGTGGTGGTCAGCACCCCCCAGCCGCCAGCGTTCCCTGAAGTGACAACTGCACCCGGCCAGGTTGCCAGGGAAGAAGATACTAGCAGCGGCGTGGTCCACTCAGGTAGGGACAGTGCCAATGGGGCTCATGTGGCTAGCCCTCATTAATAGGATCTCATGCCGACATCCCTGAAGAATTCTCTGTAGGTCACGTGTTCCTAGCTCCGGGATCTGCAGAGCATTCTCATATGGATACCTAGCCTTCCAAGGTTGATGGAGTGGTTTCTGTGCTCTACAGAGCTCTGACTTTCAGGGCAGAGGAGGCCTTGGGAAGGTGTTGAGCCTTGTTTCTAGTTAAGCCAGAGGGAAAGGATCTGTTAACAAACTTGAACTTTCCAGATTTCCATTGTGTCTCCAACCACCTCAAGGGGTAGGAAATCCTTTGTTGGCTTGTGGTGCTCAGCACATCAGATCCCAAGGGTCTGTCACTGCCGGGTGTCATCAAAATAGGGGGTGGGGAGGGAGGAGAGATGCCTAGACACGAGACCCCTCAGCTCCCTGTCTGCAGACATCCAAGGCCACACTGCATCTTCCCCGAAGCCACAGCCTTCCAGCTGGCTTCCCTGAGGGGAGAGGCCCCTGCATTTGCCAGGATCCCGAGATCCCCTCCTGCCTCAGGCTGGGCAGCTTTCCCCATGCTGCAATGCTGAGCAACCCTTCACCCTTCTCCTTACAGCCTCTGTTCAAGGAGCCCCTAAGGAGGTGGTTGATCCCTCCAGTGGCCGGGCCACTCTGCTTGAGTCCATCCGCCAAGCTGGGGGCATTGGCAAGGCCAAGCTGCGCAGTGTCAAGGAACGCAAACTGGAGAAGAAGAAACAGAAGGAGCAGGAGCAAGGTGAGGGGACCAAGGATCTGTGGCAGCAGCCAGGCTCCCTGTCAGCCAGCAGGAAGTCCCTTGTGGCTACCCTGATATGTACCCTTGTCCCTCTGGACTGGGCCATGGGTCCCCTGGCGGAAGCTTTCCTGTCTTGAGCTCTCCCAGCTGAAACCACGAGAAAGTAGAACCTTTGACAGGCATTGTCCAAGGAGACATGCAGGAACCTGAAGTCCTCTGAGATGAGACATAGGACTTGTCCTTTCCATCCCGAGGACAAGGCTTATGTCTGCCAAGAATTCTTGCTAGTGGCATCCTTGTTAACCTGTGTGGAAAGTGTCCGAAGTCCTGGGTTTGCGTCATGGATCTTCTTCTGACCTGCTTTGTGACTATATGCCAATGGCCTCTCTGAGCCCATTTCCTACCCATGCAGGGGTACAGAGAACTGTATGCCAATAGCCTGGCCTCTCTGAGCCCATGTCCTTACCTACACAGTGGTACTGAGAATTGATTTTTTATTATTTATTTATTTATTTATTATGTATACAATATTCTGTCTCTGTGTGTGCCTGCATGCTAGAAGAGGGCACCAGACCCCATTACAGATGGTTGTGAGGCACCATGTGGTTGCTGGAAATTGAACTCAGGGCCTTTGGAAGAGCAGGCAATGCCCTTAACTTCTGAGCCATCTCTCCAGCCTCTGGTACTGAGAATTGAAACATTGAGGCAGGACTGGGCCGTGGACACATCATGTGTGACCAGCATATGGCAGGAGAGCGCGTGTGGGAGTGCTTCAGGGCCAGGTGAGCCCATCGTGTGACTGTCCCTGGCAGTATTGAACTTGGCCTCTTCTTCCTTCACCTGCTGCCCTCCCATTGCAGTGAGAGCCACCAGCCAAGGCGGAGACTTGATGTCAGACCTCTTTACCAAGCTCGTCATGAGGCGCAAAGGTAGGCATCTTGTGCGTGCTTATCTTCGGAGGCGGTGAAGTGGTGCCCCACTGTCTGCCTGCCTGTCTGTCTGTCTGTCTGTCTGTCTGTCTCTCTCTCATCACTTCTCCTTCCCAGGTATTTCTGGAAAAGGACCTGGCACCGGAACCAGTGAGGGGCCCGGGGGAGCCTTCACCCGGATGTCAGACTCCATCCCACCGATGCCACCGCCCCAGCAGCCCGCAGGAGACGAGGATGATGAGGACTGGGAGTCCTAAGAGTGCTTTGAGCCTTCTTGCACATTCAGCAGGAACAGCCAGGAGGGACTCCTTGGCCAGCCGGGGCTTCTCGGGTCTTGTTGCCCAAAGAGGTCCAGGGTCGGTACCTGATTTCTCTTCGTGGAGTGGAGGCTCTGTGAGCCATCTGCTGCTTCCCTGCTTCATGTGACTGCTTTGCTTGATCCTCCACTGAAGAGCGCCACAGCAATGTGGTGGAATAAAGAAAGTAACTAGACCTGAACCCAAGCCAATGGTGCCCTCTTAATATATGAAAAGCAGCCCTGCTGGCTGCCGACAGCTTCTTGGACTGTGGCCTGTCCTTCCCAGATGTTCTCAGGCACGGTACAGGCTGGCTGGGGGAACTGAGCTTGTCCTCTGGGATCAAGGCAAATGGAGGTTAGGGCAGCTATTGCAGGGGGTAGTTTTCCCCTGGAAAAGTGACTTGGTGTTTGCTGAGGAGACTGGGGACAGGAGGTGCTGCAGGCCACAGGGAGAACTTAGAGGCAAGCCAGGGAGTCCCATGAAGGACGGAGAGCACGTGAGGGATAGGGCTGTGGTTAGGGACTGAAACCGGTGTGAGGCTCCTGTGGACACGAGTGCCCTGAAAATGTTGCTTCCTGTGGTGCGGATGAGAGAATCGAAGATCAAGGACACCTCACGTCACTTAGAAAGGATAGAGGCTGGGTGGGCAGGGTAGCCTCACGTCCGGAAGGCAGAGGTCCCTCATTCCACAGATGCCCCCGTCAAGGCCAGCAGAAGTGGGACAAACAGGTCTTGGAGGCTGAGCTGCCATGGGCTAGGCAGCAGGGCTAGGGCTTGCGGTTCTCAAGCTGATCGACATTGGCTCCTGGTAGCTCTTTGGTGTACAGGCCATGAGGGGACCACTCAGGTATGCCACACGCGGTCAGAAGAGCTGGAACTCTCTGGATGAAACTGAACATGTACGAAAGTTACTAAGGAGGCATTTTGGGAGGGGAAGGCAGATTGAACCTTCTACACAGTAGTGAAGGAAGTTTTTCACTTCCACTGGGTGTGGCAACCAGATGGGCAGCTCTGGCAGGATAGGAGGGGTAGACACATGCCCACAGCCTCTCTGATGCCTGCTAGTCCTACTACTGAAGGTGGGGCTGAGCGACATCAACCTCACAGTGGTGGCCATCAGGTAATTTCCCCTCCTGTGACCTCACATGGGAAATATGGCAGGCACCATCCCCGAGCTGTCTGTCAGCCCCCCGCTGGCCTCTAGCTTGACGACAACCTTGATACTCGGATTCTCCACCAGCTTCTTCCCTGATGGGGGCCTGACCTGGAGTTCTAGTCTAGGGAGGACACACAGATGGCTGGTCTGTTCTTACCTGTCCTGGTGTCTTGGCTTTGCAGCAAGGCCAGATTTCATGGACCCAGCCCAGTGGCATGTATTAGAGATGAAGTCACAGAGAAGAGCAAGTGGATGGAGGCCCAAATTCTCCTGTGAAGTCAGGGATTCACTACTGTCAAAGCAGGGCCTTGCCACTCCTGGCCATGGGTGACACTGGCCTACAGGTGACACAGCTTGTTGCTAGGGTCATTAATAGACAAGGCCCAGTCGCCTTCCTTGAATAGGTCTGTTAAAGAAACCATAATGCAAAGTAGAAAAGGGGGATTTGTTCATTGTGACTCCACTGGGAAGAAGAACGAAGAGGTCTGGTTGTACCCTCTGCTACTGCCAGGGCCATCTCTGGAGTCCCAACGTGAGGTTTTGGTTTAAACAAAAGGTAAGAGGTATGGTCAGATGTGGTCCGGCCCGTCATGACAAGTCAGCAGTGTGGAGCCAGGCTCCCCTCTGCCTAGCACCGGAGCCTCAGCCTTTTCCTTCTCCTGGTATGAGATCCTTAGGGAAATTCCACTTCCTGGAGGTACATCAGCTCAACAGTCTGATAGCCAAAGGGAAGGCGCATGGGTCCTGAGAATATCTTCATTCTTGTGAGGATGGTCCCAGGCTTCTCTCCCAGCCCTCCCGTTCTCAGAAATGCTGAAAGTACTTCAAAGGGTCTGAGTAGTCAAGTATCTTCTCTTAGGTCCGGTGTCACTATATACTTGTGGAAGGACACAGGATCCAATGGTACATGTGGTCAAGCCTTCATGGCATCATCAGCTGGTGTTCCCTGCCACGTTTTACAGCTGATGGCTCTTTCCCTCTCACCATCTTGCCCCTACCACCTGAAAAGGGTGTTCTTCAGCTCAGAGAACCAGTCCGTGCTAAGAAACCGAATCCTCAGCACGTCATGGCTGCCCACTTCTCTGCTTGGGTCCTTAGCCCCAGCAAAGAGGGCACTGTCTACCAGGCCACGTCGTCAGAAGTTAATCCCTTCGGTCATCTTCCCTCAGACCACAGAGAGGAGCAGGGTCCTGTTCACTGAGGTTTCTGTCCCACCAGGTCCCATAGCCTTTAGTCCCAAATAAACACAGAGGTCTACATTAACCATAAACTGATTGGCCTCTTAGCTCAGGCTTCTTATTGACTCTTTTTTTTAAGGCTTCTTATTGACTTTTTTCTTTTTTTAAGTTTTTTTTAAAAAAATTTTTACGGTTTATTTAACTTTATTTTATGTGCATTGGTGTGAAGGTGTCAGATCCCCTGGAACTGGATCTTCAGACAGTTGGGAGCTGCCATGTGGGCGCTGGGAATTGAACTCAGGAGCCCTGGAAGAGCAGTCAGTGCTCTTAACCACTGAGCCATCTCTCCAGCCCCTTGACTCTTTCTTACATCTTATATTAGCCCATTATTCTAGTCTGTGTTGTCTTAGATGGCCTCCAGCCAGACTGCAGTACCTGAGGGAAGCTGTCCATCTGGGCAAGCCCGGTACTATCTACGCTGCCAGGCTTCCATGGCCTCCGGAGGCGTTCTTATTTCTACCCCTCTGGTTGGATTTTTCTCATCATCACCCGCTCCCCCTCATTTGTTTTCTTGATACTGTGAAAGTCCAGAGAACTGGCAAGACTGAGAAATGGGAAAACAAAACACACACAGGCTGCATCCGTGAGAGTGCAGAATCCTAATGAGACCTCTGGGGAGAGTGGTTTGTCTCGAGAATATCTGTAGGGACAAGACAATGCTTCCCAAAAAGAGGACATCTCAGGAGACTGTGTCTTGAGAATGCTTTCACCGGGCAGTGGTGGCACACACCTTTAATCCCAGCTCCCGGGAGGCAGAGGTGGACGCCTCTTGAGTTTCATGACAGACAGAGAAACCCTGTCTTGAAGGGGAGGGGTACCTGGATTTTGAAGCCCGTGGTTGGAACTTGACACAAACTTTAGGGAGACAGTAATGCAGTTCACAGAGCCTGGAAGTGGCTGAAGTAGTCAGAAGCTAAAGCATCACAGATGACAAGCTTGAGGAGTCCCAGCAGGCACTCCAGATGGCACTGTTCTCAAAGCAGGGTCTGGCTGCAGGGCTACTCACCACTCCCTGATGGCCAGGCCCACCAGCAGTCCCGCTGGGCATGAATGTGACAGAAGGGGAAGAAACACCACTGCCTCGGGTAATCACTGCCTGGGCTACAGAGAATGTGACCTAACTCATCTATGTATAGAAGGCCGCAAAGAGCACCCAGGAGGCAGATCCTGCAGCCTGTTGTGTGTCACTATTCCCAGGAGATGGGAACAAAAATCCCATCTCTGATAGGGAATCAATAATTGACCAAAGTGAGGAGACAGCTAAAGTCCAACTCGGTGAGCCAATGAGTTTTCCTGGGGTTATAGGAATATGCCGCCACCAAAAGCCTTCTACAGCATGACAGCCACAAAAGCTGGAACCCTGGGGCACACTGGACAACCTGCAGGCAGTGGGAGTGTCCTTTTCAGGTGGCGTGGTTGGTCTGAGTCTTTTCCAGGCAGCTCAGCTTGTCTGAGAGTGCCTCCCAACAGCCCTGTGACCAGTTTCAGGGACTTCCTGAAGCTACTTTGAGTTCTTTTCTGGAGCTTAAAGAGATTCCTCTCAAGATGGACTGTTTACTTTCCCTTAGATTCTGTTGTGGTGATATCCTGTGTGTTAGTAGACATCCCATCCTACGTCCTTCTACGTCCTTTCTGCCGTGGGCCGTGCAATTGAAGTTCCAGGTACCAGAAGGGAAGCCTCTGAAGGTCAGTCTTGTTTAGGCAAGGCCATGGGACTGCAGACATGGAATGTCTTGCTTCTACTGTGCCTTTAAATGTTTCCTGTGGCTACCTTTCTCTGGTATCTAGCATGGTGTGAGTGGACGTGGGGAGATCTCTACTACCTGTTATATAGTGTGTTTATCATTTGGAAACATCCTGGCATTTGTATCTGTGGATCATCAAGAAGACGACCCCCCACAAGCTGTACTGTCTAATTTGATAATAATGATAGGTTTTTTTTTTTAACAGTTTTGAAGAATAAAAATAAATACAAGGATATGTTTCACAGCCAGGGTCTGTGAGTTTCACCTAAGGAGCTGCATGGATTGTAGCTCAAGTTAAAGACTAACATTGGGGGGCTGGAGAGATGGCTCAGAGGTTAAGAGCATTGCCTGCTCTTCCAAAGGTCCTGAGTGCAATTCCCAGCAAGCACATGGTGGCTCACAACCATCTGTAATGGGGTCTGGTGCCCTCTTCTGGCCTGCGGGCATACATACAGACAGAATATTGTATACATAATAAATAGATAAAAAAAAAAGACTAACATTGAGTCCCAGTAGCCCAGCTAGTTTAAATTCTTTTAACCTTAATGTCGGGAGATGTGTTCACAGGTCTCGGAGTGCATCATAGCTGAAACAAAGCTTTGAAAATAACAAAGTTAGACTAAGATGTTTTTGTTAAATAACTGAGGTGAAACCCAAGAAGGCAATCTAAAGGTTTAGAAAGGCACATGGTTGAGTGAGGAACTCTTTCAGATCAGAGAACAAGAACAAAGCAGCCCAATTATTACTGGCTGAGGTACTCTTCTTGCTAGGTTTGGTTGATGATCAGAGGTAATGATTAATTCCTTATACCCATTTTGTTTTCAATCTCCTGATGTAAAAAAACTATTTATGAATTGATATGTACTCTAAAGATTTAATGTAGAGCTGATTCTTTTCATATACAAAAGTTTAGATTTGTAATTTAAGATTCCTCATAAGATTACCATTCAAGATAAGCAATAAAGTAATTGGCCCTTTATTTGTAACTGCAAAATGTACCCTGCCAGCAAAAGACCTGACAAGAACACCTTGCTTGCCCACGTGGTTAATCTATAACAAG